AGCTCCTGGACTTGGTCTCCTGCGAGACTGACCCCCGACACCTCCACCCACGGCCTGCGCGCCCCACCCATCCCGCCTGGGTACCCAGCCTGCTACTTGCGCAGCCTGGCCCCCGACAGTAACGTGAAGGAAACTCCACGAACCGGGGCCGGCCTTTGACTCCTGCTGCTCCTCGGACCCGCGTCTGCGGGAGGGACGTTCGTTCGTTATCTTCGGGCAAAGCTGCCCTTTCCATCCCCGGAACCTAATGATAAACTCTGGCTGGTCAACGGGCCCGAGCCCCACTCCTTTCCCCGATGCACTTGCTGAGATGCGTTAACAGACCCCCCGCCCTGCGGCGCTTCCTCCGCAGTCCCAGCGTTTACCCGCATCGCTCCCTCCACGCGTCCCTTCCTCTCCTCCCCCTCGGGCTCTTCCTGCCCAGACGCAGGACATCGGGCTCCAGGCGAAAGGCCCTGTGATGACCACCAAACTTCAGTTTAATCTTGAAAATTTATCATTCCTTGGGCATTATATTGTTAATTTCAAATCAAAATAATAAGAAACTTTAAGTTACTTTAGAGCACTTGAGAAAATAAACGTGAAATAATATCAAAATATTGTCCACGGTGCGCTCTAGGAGCTGGGCGTGGGCTGTTCGCTGTCATCTTTACCTGTCCTCTCGTGTGTGCGTTTAAAATATCTCGTAAAATAAAAATTCTAAAATAAAAGCAAAAACCATGTATCCTGGCCTCAAACACATGCTATCACATTAAATTTATGAAAGCTGACCCAAGAAGAAAAAAAATCTCAAAAGTTTTATATCTCAAATAGAAATTAAATCCATGATTAAAAGTCTTGCCAAAAATACCAGGTTAAGGTCTGATGGTTTCACTGGTGAATTGGGAACACTTTCTGTTCCAGAGAATGATAGAAATACTTCTATATTTTTTGCAATATCTTGAAATAAAAATATAATGTCATCAGCAGGGAGAATTATAGGCCAGGACCTCNAATATCTCGAAATAAAAATATAATGTCATCAGCAGGGAGAATTATAGGCCAGGACCTCCCACTAACGTATCTGCACAGTTCCTAAGGACATATGAACACGCTTCATCTTGCTGCATGAGACAGACAATGCCCCACGACCAAGCGGGTTCTGTCTGCGGGGTGCAGGGAAAGCTCACCCTCAGAAGACAGTAAACGTAAGTCAATATATTAACCGAGTAAATGCACAGAATAGAACCTATCCCAAGATTATTTCAAGCTGTCAGCCTGTTAATTCCAGTGTCCTTGTTATACCTGAGTAATTCTGATGATTTGTTTCTGAGTGTTTTTTCCTTGCCTTCTGGCATTTCATATATATACACACATATATATAGGGTGTCCCCAAAAATGTATACACACCTTAACGGCTGATAGCTCAGTTGATGTTTGTTTCTTTTCAGATTTAAATCACTGGAATTAATAATTATTCAAGGTGTGAATACACTTTTTGGGACACGATGTATATATTTTGTTGCTGTTGTTGAAAGTCAGCTATGTTTTTGGGTTTTTAACCCTTTGTGATCGTATTAAATTTGGACATGGGTGTCGTACTGGTCGGAATTAATTTCCATTGAAAGAGCAGTGATACATAACATGCATGATTATGAAGGATAAGCAAGAGAAATTATGAAATGATACATGAATGAATAGAGTTAAGATTCGTACTATTCCTTGCTGTGGTGGCTGAGAGTAGACAAACGACCCCAAAGGGTTAAAAATATATGACTTTATGGATTTCAGAGACAGGAAGAGAGAGAAACATCGATGACGAGAGAGTCATGGATCGGCTGCCTCCTGCACGCCCCCGACTGGGGATCGAGCTGCAATCCGGGCCTGTGCCCTGACCGGGAATCGAACCCTGATCTCCTGGATCCTAGGCCGATGCTCAACCGCTGAGCCAATGCTACGCCTAGCTGGTCGTCGGCTGTGCTTTTATCGGGTGCTGGGGGAATTCATGCTAATCTGTGGGNATGCTACGCCCAGCTGGTCGTCGGCTGTGCTTTTATCGGGTGCTGGGGGAATTCATGCTAATCTGTGGGGGATACGGATCCTTGGGCTTCTCCTGAAGTGCCATCCTTGGAACCCATCGTCTGAGGCTATAAGATGATTAATTGAATTATCCAAAGTTGGAGCCAAACAAGACCAGCCGTACCAAGCCCAGATCAGAGACATTTCGCATCTTAGATTTTAAGAATGTCCGTTGTCTAATAGTCGCCTGTCATGTCTCCAGGGTCTGGTCTTCCTACTTTCATAACCGTGGAATTTTTCTGTTCCCCTCGCCGTAAATTACCCTTATTGGAAATGGCACTTGGGGCTTATTTATTTACTCAACGAAATCGTGACCGCCTCTTTCAATGTGCTTTTTCCTCCCGTGGTTCTTCTGCAGAAACGACCCTGCAGGCCCAGCGGCATCAACACGGAGCTGAGGGCCGTGGGTCCGCGCCCCACAGTCACCGCCGGTTCTGCTCAGCAGAGTCAGTTCTGACTTAGAACCTTCAACCCACCAATTTCTAGTTTAGCTGGATCGAAAACAAACTAGTAAACCGTGTTAAATTTAAATGCTATTAAAATATCCAGATGGATTTTAAAGGCTCAGACTGGTTTACTGAACCTGAGAACAGATGTGCTCGGTCGGCCAAGAAGGCCTTCGGGTCAGAGTAGTCGCCGTGGGGCAGCTTTACATCGACCGGATCAGAGAAGCAACAGCCCCGGGACTCCGCTGGGCAACTCGGGGGCAAAGGGAGGTTCACAGCTGTGGGTCCAGGAGGCAGTTTATTCTTGTATTATTTATTATTATTGTCATTTACTATCATTATTAACCCACTTCTGCCCACCCCTGGACATTCCTTAGTCTGAGGAATCATCACTGCTCGGATACGGTGTTTCACACTCCGTGTGTCGGGTGGAATTAACGTAATATTAGAATTTGAAATGACTGCTTTTTTGAGACCGCTACCGAATCCAAGGACTACGCTGCCTTATATCTGCACTTCCAGGAACAGGCTTTTTCTCGTCTCAGGGAGCACGCGTCCCGGCACGTTCGTCAGCCCGGAAATGAACGCACCGCGGGCGGGGAAACGGGCAGAGCACAGTGTCCTGACCCCCGGCCTCGCTGCCATCGGGTCTTCAGCTCGAGTCAAGGAGAACGAAATGCTCAAACGATCAGATCTCTTTCACTTTTAGAACGATCCTTAGGCTGGAACACGTTTTGAAGGAAGAAGACAAACCGTAAGTAATAATGTGAGAGGAAGGAAAAAATGTCTTAATAGAACGAAAGAACTGAACACAGAAGAGAAAGGCCAGTAAGTGGCCGACACGTTACCAAGCTCTGCTCACACGCACACGGCATTTTAAAGTGAAAATTACCCAAAGCAAACGCTGGGTGAAAATATCTTCAGGACGTAAATCTGACAAAACAGCAGCACCCAAAAATGTAAAGAGCTGCTGCCAATCAATTTTTAAAATACTGATTTAAAAGCCCAGTTGAACATGGACGGTGCAGCCTCGGCCGGTTTGCTCAGCGATTAGAGCGTCACTCGAGGGCTCAAGGGTCTCGGGCTTGCACCCCCGTCAAGGGCACGCACCTCGATTCCCATATGTGGGGGCAACCAATCGATGCGTCGCTCTCTCTCTTCTCTGAAAAGCCATGGAAAAAATATCTCCTGGTGAGAATTAAAAAAAAACAGAAACAAAAAACACGGATGGCGCAGCTGAACAGGCACCTCAGACAGAAGGACGCGTAAGTGCCTGAGACGTGCGGAGGGGGCCCAATGTCATCGCCACTCCAAATTAATACACGATCCAGACGCCAGTAATACCCACGCGAGTCACCGAACTAGAGTCTGAAAACGGCCTGTGTGGGCGAGAACCTGGGCCCTGCAGCCCGCGGAGGCCGCGGCCGGGCGGCAACTCCAGCAAGTGCACCCGAAACCGTTTGGCCGACTCCCCTGGAGGCACGCCTGCGATTCGCGGCCTCCGCGTCAGGCGTCGCTGTAGCCAAGGGGAAGGTATCCAGGTGAACAGGAAGGACCCCCATTGAAAGGTACGCGTCAGTTTCATTCACACGCCTCAGCCAGGAAAACAGAAACTGAAAACGAAGAAGGAAAGAGCGAGCTAAAGAGAAAGAAAAGAAACCGCTCAAAACCACATCTTCCTAGAGCAGCCTCTTTTGCAGCAACGGAAACAACACTAACGCGTCCTGCGTCAGCAAAGGCGCGTCTCCGGGAGAGCGTGGGGCACTGGGAAGGTGCTGGGACCCCCCGTGACTCCGCGCGGGCCGGGGGGCTCGAGCAGCGGGCGAGCCGCTGGGGCCACACTGGCTGGTTAAGAGAGAAATGTGGGGAACTGGCTTGCGATGGCTCAAGGTGACCTTGAATATAGCAAAATACCATCCACTCCCACGTTTAATATTTGCGCCTTTTACACTGTGCTTTGAACAACAGCCAATAAACGAAATGACGGGTTATATGCTTTTTCCCCCTGAAGAAATAAAGCCGTTTGAGCCAGGTCCCCCGTTAAGTGCTCAGGGCGTCTGCACAGTTCTTGTCTGCGAAACACGGGGTCCCACAGGGAGGGCCGGGGCGCGTTCCCCGCTCAGCACCCACCTGCCCGCTTCTGCTGCGCCGGCCGCCCAACGGGGTCAGCACGTCCGACTGGGCGAGCGCAGGCTCGGTAATCTCTTACAAGCTCGACAAAAGCTTCAGCTGTGGTATAGTTGAAGCCATGAAAGTTCAAGGAGAGTTTAGATGCTTCATTCAAGTTAAGAGACTGTCGGGAGGGCTCCCCGGGGTGGGG